CATTTACAACTTCTAAAAACCAATATCAGATGACAAGATTAGCTATGGGATTGAAAACTAGCCCTAGCGCGTTTTCTAGGATGATTACAGTTGCAATGTCAGGATTGAACTATGAACAATGTTTGATTTATTTAGACGATTTATGTGTTTTTGGCCGAAATTTAGAAAACCATAATAAAAATCTGATGGATGTGTTAGCGCGCTTACGAAAAGTAAATTTAAAATTAAACCCTGCAAAATGCAAATTTTTACAAAAAGAAATTCTGTTCCTCGGACACGTGGTATCCGAAAACGGCGTATCACCTGATCCGTCAAAAACTCAGGCTTTAAAATATTACCCAAGACCTCAAAGCACAGAAGAAGTGAAGCGCTTCGTAGCGTTCGCTAATTACTACAGGAAATTTATCACACATTTCGCAGAGAAAGCTTATCCTCTTAATAAATTATGTACAAAAAGAGCAACATTTTTATGGACAGAAGACTGTGAAAAGGCATTCCAAGAATTAAAGTCGGCTCTCACAAACTCACCAGTCCTTCAGTACCCCGACTTTTCGAATAATAACGAATTTCTATTGCAGACCGACGCATCTGGAATAGCTATAGGTTCGGTACTATGCAATAGGGATGGTAGACCAGTGGCTTACGCAAGTCGTAGTTTAAATAAAGCTGAAAAGAATTATCCCACTATCGAAAAAGAATTACTGGCGATAGTGTGGAGTGTAAAGTATTTTCGACCTTACCTTTACGGCAGGCGGTTTAAAATACAAACAGACCACAGACCACTACTATACTTATTTGGGATGCGTGATCCCACGAGTAGATTAATGAAATTTAGATTACAATTAGAGGAATACAACTTTGAGATAGAATATATAAAAGGTGCAAAAAATTCGGCAGCAGATGCTTTATCAAGAATAATATTAAGTTCAGAAGATTTACAACAAATGAGTGAACGTACAGTGAATATGATGACAAGAGCACAAGCGAGAAGGTTGCAAGAAAGCAAACAGGCGCAGTATGACCCGAATTTAACGGCTAATAATCATCCCCAATACTCGAGGCCTGATCAACCAAGGGTAGTGGAGATAATTAAAAAACCGAGAAATTTGATAGAACTAAGATTAATAAATAAAAATAAATTAGACAAATTTGAAAGACAGGGACTAATAACAAAGAGAACGTATTACTTTGCCTATGTGGCAAGCCAGTCAAGTATTTTCCTCAACAGATTTTCTCGATCATCAATCACGCGAGACGTATTGGTGAGAGATTTATCTAATTTATGTAGGAAATTAAGCATAGAAGAAGTGTGCATTATAAAAGATGAAAATAACGAAGAGTTTATTGCAGGAATAGTTAATGAAATAAAGGCAAGCACACAATGGTCCGGACCACGACTATATATATACTTAAAAGTGTGCAAAGAATAAATAACGAAGATGATAAGCGAGTCATACTTAATGACTTTCACCTTTTGCCCACTAGTGGCCACGCGGGCATCAGGCGAATGTCTAATAATATTAAAAAGTTTTACTATTGGCCTAGTATGGATAGGGACATTAATCAGTTTGTATCAAAATGTGAACAGTGCCAGAAACAAAAACATAGTATCAAAACAAAACAACCTATGGAAATTACAACCACGTCTAGTTATGCGCTAGAAAAAATTTACTTGGATATAGTTGGTCCACTGCCTAAGGATGATACAGGTCATTGCTACGCGCTCACATTACAATGCGAGCTCTCGAAATTCGTGGAAGCGTATCCCTTACACAGCAAGGACGCTGTATCAGTTGCAAAGGCGTTTGTAAATAACTTTATCTTACGATACGGAATCCCGCGTGAAATCGCGACCGACCGTGGCACAGAGTTTGTTTCGAACACCATGGCACAGGTATGTCAACTTCTCAAAATTAAACAGCTGACATCAACCGCTTACCATCACGAGTCAATTGGAGCATTGGAAAACACACACAAGACGTTAGGTGCGTATTTAAGAATATATTGTGAAAATCGTCCTAACTCATGGAGCAGCTGGTTACCCTACTGGTGCTTCGCACACAACAACACGGTGCATACAGAGACTAAATACACGCCACACGAGTTAGTATTTGGTAAAACTTGTAAACTGCCTAATAATTATGATTCTGGCATAGACCCACTATACAACTTTGATAGCTATCCACAAGAGTTCCGATATAAATTACAGGTGGCTCAAGAAGATGCAAGAAAGAATTTACTTGAAAGCAAGGTGAAGAGAAAGGTAAATTACGATATAAGTCTAAATCCAAAAATATACAAAGTAGGTAATTACTTGTTAGTCAAAAATGAAGAAGGAAAAAAAATTGATAAGGTATATTTAGGTCCATTTTTAATAATCAAAGATTTAGGTTGCAACGTACAGATTTTGAAAAACGGTAAAGAAGTAATCGTTCATAAAAATCGCACTAAACCTTATAAAATGTAATGGTAAAATTTAAGTTCTGATTCTACTTAGTTTAGGTAATTATAGCGAATTAATAATATTATAAATTGAAGTCAATTTTTAATTACTAAATATATAAAAATGTAACATTATTATAACTTATATTTACTCGTGAATTAATAATTTGAATTATATAAATAAAAATTTATATCGACTATTATTACCAATATTTACTCTTGAATTAATAAGCTGAATTGTACTCATTAATTTTAATTATTTAGTGGTATTTTCTATGTATAATATATTGTAACCTATACAATTATATTACATAAGTATGTACGTGCTAAAACTATAATAAAATAAAACTGTCATTTTATTTTATTAACCCCCTCCGGGGAAGGTGTAGTGTGTATATAGATACTCGTATATATAGGTATGATGATCCGACATAATAAATCAGTCTTGTATCGTCATTGAGTTGTTTCACTCGTAAACATCCTTACCTTATACTGGTCCCATGGTCAAGGGTGACTGAGATGGTACAGTCATCAACCAGTTACATAAGTCTAATATTAATGCAAACCACCCTATTTTTTCACTATAGCTACAAAAGTTATTAATTAAATACCTTATTTTTAAATTTTCAAAGAACATTCAAATTATTTTATTTCAACAATATAAATTATTAATTTAAACGGCCGTGGCGGCAGTTGAAATATAAGTTTTAACTGCCTCTGTGGCCGAACGGTTACCATGTTGGACTGCTACGCAGAGGTCCCGGGTTAGATTTATCTCGTGAGTTTGGGTGTAATTTATGGTTGTCTTTGTGTGTGTGTGTGTGTGTGTGTGTGTGTGTGTGTGTGTGTGTG